TGATCAACAGTATCCATAGCAAAACTATTTGCATCATTTTTCTCAGACGTTATGTCAATATCCATATTTGATCAAATTATAACTTCAAAATAGGATACTATCTAGAAACAAAAGACTCATTATATAGTAAGATTTGGATAAACGAAGAAATGCGGGGCTACTAAAACTACTACCATTGATCATGCGTAACGAATTATTCAAACAATGACCTTGTGTAACGCACAGTGGGAGTATTAGTGAGTGGATATGGATCAAGGTTAAAAACATTTTGTGTCATTTATTTATTTATTCCAATAGCCTTGTGCTGTCATCGATTGACAGCTATAACTTACCGAGGGCTTTGATCAGTAGTTATATTACAAAAATTAGAAGTAGAGTTAACAATACCATAATTATTCGTAGTTTCACAATTTAAATGAACAAAAGCATGTTCAATGTTCCAGACCAGTATCAACATAAACTGCTTCACCAAGATGTAGATCATTTGGAAGAAGAATATCAATTTCAACAAGAGATGAATGATGAAATGCTATCCAAGTTAATTGTTGAAGAAACTGAGATGGAGCTGTATAACCAGTTAGATTACGAATATGAACTACACATATAAATATTTGAATATTTAAATCAATAAAAAATTTATAAAAGAATAACAGTAATACATACGACGAATTTGTGAACTCCAACAAATGATAATATATAAACTAATTACAATAGCATCTGAAAAATATAAAATTTCGAAATAAAATAAAGGCTGTTTTACTTTTTACGTACCAACTGGATCAATAACTGAGAGTTCTTTTGGTTTAATTTCACTATCTATCGCTTTGGAACCTAATTGAAAAGAATAGTTTTATTTATTTGTCCATAATAAATGTCTTTCAGAAAGAAAAATCAATTCAACTATTTCTCTGATAATAATTTTATTTATAACTTCATAAGAGTGTTTTATGAACAATAAAAAAAAATATATATACATGTTTCAAGAGCAGTTAAAGGTCGTACAGTAAATGTCAATTTCTCAAAAGATTTATTACTAGAGACAAAACGGACGTTTGATATTATGACAGTATATATTAAGCACTGTTTCATAGTGATAAATAACATAATTAAAAAAATGTTTTCGTTCGTTCTTCGTCTAGTCACGTGTCGTCTCGATATGTGAACATTGTTTCCAACTAGCGAGCCAATAAATTCGTACTTAACAATGACATAATATGCACTCATTCTATTACTTTCCAGCTATGTGTACTGGGAAAATTGAATTCTGTGTACCTTAAGCAGTCATCTTAAGAGTGCATCCATGAGAGAGCCGAAGAATCGAAGTAATCGACAAGATTTAAATTTTTGATTTAACTTTATCATTTTATTTAGTATGATCTAAAACTTTCAGATCAAAATTTTTAGCTCATATGGATGTACTATAGAAAAGTTAGCCTTGATTGACTTTTCAGTACTCCCATGATATTATTAGAAAAATAGTCAAAAGTTGTCTCTTAAATGTCTACTAAAACTTTTTTATCTAATATACCAAAAGATACAGATGAAACGCTGAATAAAATGTAATAATCTAGAGTTATTGATCGAACGCTATTCGTAATTACTCTTTTTGAATGAAAAATAAGTCAATCTTTTTCAGTATATCAGCTGCCATTCAGTCATTTTGTGAGATCTCAGACTGGATTTAACGTATGTTATACAACTTTTTTTTCTTTACAAAATGGGGTAACAGTATCGGAAAGAATAATGTCGAATGGTGCCAAAAATGGATTCACGTGACTCGTATATTTTATGATTTCTGATAAATTTTCAACAAAAAATCAGAGATTTTTAGCAGTTTTCATTGTCATGACACACTTATTTAGAAGGACTAATGTGTTATTCGCAGTTAGCGCTGAAAACTACATCGCTTTATATGTTCCAATTGGAACATTTAATGTTATTTTTCATATATTAAGTGATATAAGACAAGAATTAAAAAAACGTATATCATCAACAGAAAATAAGAAAACTGAAAATCTGACGTATTCATGTGGATCAGTATTGCACAATAAAAAAACAACTCTGATAATATTAGAAGAATTCTATAAGCTGATACTATGACATAACTCTTTCTTCATCATCTATCTGCAGTGGCTCAGGATATTGTTAGAACGAAGCATTTATAGATATTCTACAACAATTAGCGTGTCCATTACCACAACATCTTAAATGAGGTTTCGAGATTACAGTGTTATGCCTCATGCATCAATATATTCTGCTTTATATATAAAAATGTTGTGTTTCCATGACATCGTGCATCATATCATTATTTCTTAGAGACTGATAGGTTTTGATTACTTCATGAAGTACAATCTTCAAAGTCGATCAAGACAAAAATATCTAAAAAAAATATTATATACGATACAGTTTAAGATTCATGATTGATAGATTAATTGTAAGATAGGAAACTCATACCTGTAACAAAACTAGCTCAAGCAAAATCTTAGCATATGTATGTAATGGTTTCGTCACTGAACGGTTAAATAAAAACAAAACTTTATTATTTTTATGTACACTATTATAAATCACTTACAAGATATTCTCGACTGTTATTTAATTCAGAAACCTATATGACACATTTTAGTATAGATATTTATTGAAAAAAAACCTTATTTTTAAACATCATCACATGACAACACGGCTAATTGAAATGAAAAATATATAATAAATGCAAAATGGTTCGCACTGTCTCAGTAATTACTAAATTCATTATCCATTATTAATTTTTCTAAGCTAAGATTAGTAGACATTGTTCGTAATAATTCTTAGTACGTAATAAAATAACAGAGAATCGATATTTCTAAAATATTTACACAAAAGATAACATATTATGTCTTATATATCTGCTCGTATTGGAGGATTTGCTAGTGTTTCTTCAGGTGCTACACGATTTCGATCTATATCATCATTTCGGAATGTAACATAAAATATAATGCCAATTATAAATGCAACAATTGATAATGATGTATACATCCATAACAGCTTTGGATCCACTGTTACAGGTATAAGTGCAAAATTAAGTGCACTACCAATAGCAGATGTAAATAAAAAAAATGACATTACAATAGACTTCATTGATGGTGGTGCGTGGGTAAATGCATATTCTAAACCTGTTATAGATGCAAATATTTCTGATATTGCTATTAAAAAGTAGGATGGAATCTGCCAAGCAACAGTTATATTATTAAACTTTTGACATGTGGAACAAGGTTGAGGAGTAAAAGAATAGTTTGGTCCAGTTGAATAAATTAGATGTTGTACAATAGCAGTCCATGCCATTGCAAGTGAAGCAACAATAAAACCACAAGTAATACGTAGTATAGGTTTAAAGTTAATATTCAGTCGTCTTAACAAAGGATAAATTACTTTTTCAAATATTGGTATGAATATAATTAATACAAGTGGATCAATATTTTGTAAAATATCATTTGGTAAAAGACCTATCATAAAAAGATTTGCAAGTTTAGTTATTTTTCATATCAGATAACTTACCAACGTTCATTTGTGCAGCTTGTGATGTTAAATTATTATTCATTTGATTGTAACATATCCAATAAAATGGATAAAATGCAAATACTCGACATGCATGCATAGCTTGTTTAAGATCATCAATAAATTCATTCATTTTTTCATTAGTTTCTGTTGTTTCATCAGATGTTTGTGCTTGTTTTGCATAGTCGAGAATATGTTTGATATGATCTTGTTTACCTAACTTCCATCGTAGTCGAAAAGCTATTTTGATGACACGAAATGCCTGAATAAGTAATGAACCATTTGGTGGTGCTCGTATATAACGCTGACGACCAACTAATAGAACTATGATTGCACCCATAAAGACAATCAATGGTATCAAATATGCAAGCCAAAATGAATGATATTTTTCAACATTAGTCGTTAATAACGAAGATAATGAAGCTAAATTCATTGCCCAATACAACCAATTGAATAGTGATTGAATTGTTCTATGATAAAGATAAGATTAAATATAACAAAAGAGAAATTATTTATTTACTTACACTTGTGGATGGACTATCTTCTTTTTACCTTTAGTTTCTAAAAAAAACAGATGTTTGAATACCTTGTTTTTTCTAGATGATTTCATCTTACCTTTAACTATAGGTGTTTTTCTTGTATACTGTTCACCCATCAGAGAAATGGCATTACTTTGGACACCTCCTGTACCCATGCCTATTATAATCATTGCAACAATCAGACCTGGTAGTGCAGTTCCAGCATTAATTGATGCTGGTATACTTGATACAACAAGTACAGAGAGGCCAACACTATAAATAATACATGATATAAATATTGTTCTATATTTTCCCCAGAATTGATCAGCAACAATAGCACCAACGATGGGGATAATATTACAGAAAAAACTAAATAATGTTGTTAATAATGTTGCAGTTTGATGACCACGATTAAGTGCACCTGGTTGTGTACCATTTGAGCCAGGTACAGGAAACTGAATATAGTTTTGAAATGGTCCAGATACACCATAAAAAGCAAACGATCCACAGAGGAGACAAAGAATAATCATCCATGCAGTTAACGGAATATGATCAGAAATATGTTGTAAAGTATGAAGTTCTTCTGTTGTTGGTTCAATTTCACTCGATTGCTTTTCTTGATCAGCAGTATCCATAATGAAGCTATTAGCGTGATTTTTCTCAACAGATATCTCAACAGTCATATCTGATCGAATTAAAAATTTAAAATAGGAATCTTTCTAGAAACAAAAAGTTGATTATACAACAAGATCTTGATAAATGAATAAACCTGAGGATATTAAAACTACTACCCTTAATCATGAGTAACGAATGAATATAGATCAAGGTTAAGAATCTTTTGTGTCATTTATTTGTTTAAACAGCCTTGTGCTGTCGTCGATTGACAGCTGTAGCTAACTGGTGATCTTGATTATCAGTTATATTACAAGAATTAGAATTAGCATTATTATTCGTAGTTTCGCAATTTAAGTGAACAAAAGCACGTTCAACATCTGGTAATGCTTCTAGTTTTTGTTCAAGACTAATACCAACATGAGCTGCTTTACCAAGATGTAGATCATTTGGAAGAAGAACATCGATTTCAACCAGAAAATGTGTACCAAAATGATATGCTCGTATTGTATCAATTTTTCGTACAAGAGGTGAATGATGAAATGCTATCCAAGTTAATTGTTGAAGAAACTGAGATGGAGCTGTATAACCAGTCAGATTACGAATATGAACTACACGTATAAATATTTAAATCAATAAAAATTTATAAAAGAATAATAGTAGTACATACGACGAATTTGTGGAATCCAGCAAATAATAATATATAAACTAATCACTACAGCACCTGAAAAATATAATATTTCGAAATAAGATAAAGTCTATCTCATTTTTTTACGTACCAACTGGGTCAATAACTGAGAGTTCTTTGGGTTTAATTTCACCATCTATCGCTTTAGAACCTAATGAAATGAATAGTTTATTTCTCTAAAAATAACTTTATTTATAACTTTATAAGAATGTTTTATGAACAATAAATATATGTATATTTTAAGAGGAGTTAAAGATCGTAAAGTATATATTAATTTTTGAAAGATTTATTACTAGAGACAAAACGGACGTTTGATATTATGACAGTGTATATTAAGCACTGTTTCATAGTGACAAAGAATATATTCAAAAGGATATTTTTGTTCGTTCTTCGTCTCGACATATGAACATTCTTTCCAACTAGCGAACCAATAAATTTGTACTTAACGATGACATCATACGCTCTTATCCTGTTACTTTATAACTATATATACTAGGAAAAATAAATTGTGTCCACCTTAAAGTAGTCATATGAAGTCTTTCAAAAGTGTCAGTTGATTTTGATAGTTTTTACTAACATTAAAATATGTATATGTTTATATGAATATAATATTGATATAAATCTTACCAATAATTCCAAATACTAATGCTACTATTGTTGCGACAACATCATTTCGATGATCAGCAGCAAGTGCTGACATTGTTGGTGTTGAAACACGATAGCATAGTACCGATAATACAATTTTAATGACTTTTATGAAAGTAAATTGTATTGATTTATAATAGAAAGTATTAATTATAGAAAACGAATTTACCGATGGTTATACACATAATTGAAATTGCAGCTGGATTGATATCAATTGGTGGTTTTTCATACGCATAACCGCTAACATTCCGAAAATAACCAATATCTTCAATAACTGAACGAATACCTTCAAAAATAACTTGAAAACTAGCTGCACACATAACAATACTTAATATAATGATAATAATTGGTTCAAGTCGCGTTCGTCCTAAATGAAAAATACGATTTTATCAAAATTTTATCTACTGAAAATTTTCCATGTTACCTTGTGGATAAAAATATGGATTTCGTTTTCTTATTGCTCTATTAGCCCACCAAATAGCAAAATTTAGCATTAAATCGATTGTACTCTCGACGGCTGACGAAGCAATTGACAGTGACTGTGAAATAATAGCAGAGAAAAATTTTCCAATTACAAGAATCTATAAAAATAAATTGTCAAAAAAAGTATTGAAAAGAAAATTATGCTACAATATTTGAAATAAGTGTTGCTTTAATAAGTAGAAGTGTCCATCGTCTATTTCGTTCAGCATGTTCATTATGAGATATACCAGATATATGTCGTTCATGTATATTTGAATATTGATCAATTATTTCATCCTGACGCGCATAAAATTTCCTATTCGATAACTTGAAAAAAATATGGATTAAGAGCGAAAAAGATTCTTTACCGAACTTGACGTGATAATGCTTTATCTTCAACATGTCGTCCATGTCTATAACAAACCATCTGTTCTAATGAATATGGATCATCATTTTCTACATAATAAAAATATGAAAATTTCAGAAAAACAATTACAAACAAAGTTCAGTAAATTAAATAAATATTACCGTTTTTGTTATTTGTTATATCTAATGATGATAAATTTTGTTCTAGATTTGATGTATTAATAATTGTTGAGTTATTATTGATGATAGTTGCCGATGGTACTGTTGTTGTTATTGATGATACACGTCGATCTCTCTTATATGATGGTAAAACAAAATCATAGCGTGGCTTATGTGATTGTTGTGCAATATAATCAATTGTATGTCGACGCGTTGGTTTCTCTGAAGAATTTGGTGTTCGTTGTTCGTCCATGGGTGAAAACTATCGATATTTTTGTTAACTCTTTGTCCATCCACTTACTCATCTAGTGATTCAATGTAGTATAATAAAAGATTTTTGTTTGTTTTATGAGATTTAATTTACAAGATAGCATATTCGTAACCTTTTCTATTAAAAATTTTCATTTTGTTATTTAATAGAAAGGTTAATAACGGTAAAAGTAAATACAGAAAAAGCCAGATTAGCTTTTAGTTTAACAATGAGCTTGCTAGAAATATTCTATTTATTAAAAGAAAATTAAATTAGTCGAGAAAGGTTATCAGTTAACCAAATACCATCTTATTGACAAGAAAGTCGAAATAAATTTAGACTCTTTTTTATTACTGAACATCGACGAAAGCAAAGCGATAATGGTATTGTTATACAAACATATAAACCATAAAATCTACGTATTAGTCAATGTGATTTTATATAAATTAATAATTATTTATCTTATACTTCATTGAATCATCTCAATAACTCTATTCTATAGCTGCGATGCATAATTCTGTTGAAATTTATAATAGTTATGTATAGAATAAAATTTATAGAGAATAATACCAATCGCATTAAGAAAAAGTCGTGTATGATAAACTTTGAAGTTAAACATAACTCTTTAATACGAATGAGGAGGATATAACTGTATGAGGCACCATAGAGTAAAAGAGAGGATATAAAATAAGGCTAATAGCAGTATTGTACGAAAAAGGAGTAGTCATAAATGTTTAAATTTAAACTTCAAATTTGACACTATTGACTATTTCTTGATACTATCTATAACAAAATGACTGTAAGTCTAATAAAAATCACTGTATTGCGTTCTTATTTTAATAAGATCAACTATGTGCGACATCTATGATTAAATAATGTTTATTTATAGACTATTTGGTGATGAAAATATAAAATATTTTCGATTGAACATTGAGAAAACATCATTTAAACTGTTTTTCTATCTTAAAATAAAAAATTTTCGATAGAAAAATAGGATTTGTGAAGTCTTAGTATATCTCAAGATGGCTGCTTGTATGATGTGAGAGCAAAAAAATAAGTCAGTGAGTTTATTTTCCGATACAATGATTGATTTGTTCAATATATTTTCTTATTTATTCTAGATTCTTTTAAACCATTTTAAATAGAAATAGTGTTACTCGATGCTTCGTGCAGCTCATTTGCCTCGTTCACAATCCGCTGCATACAATTTCTCACTGGTCACTAAGCGATGGCAACAAACGCCTGCTTCACCTGGTACGGGTATAACTGCTTCAACAAAATCAACACCTGGGTCACATACAACACAATATGCTACTAATAATTCTTCATCGACATTAAAAACACAAACAGCGACGGCAAGACCATCATTCAATGCACCTATTGATCGAACAAATAATCCAAATAAAACAACAAACACTCCACCATCATATATACCTCCGCCATCAGCAAGATCAAGTCCACCAACTGGCAGCGGAAGTAGTGGTGGTGGCGGTGGTAGAATGATTAAATCAATTATATATGGTGTTACTCTTGGTCTTACAGCAACATTAGTTTATGCTGAATATGAAAATGGGCCGTTTCGTCGTCAACTTGAATCAACTATTCCCTATAGTTCAACAGTTTTAGGTGGTCTTGATCAAGTTATTGATCCTGTTTTCGGTCGACAAAAACCATTTACAAAAGAAATTACAGACAAAATACCAGATCTAGCTTATGTTAAAGATAAAATACCGGGTAAAGAACAAATTAAAAAAATTGGTGAACAAGTTAAAGATACTACCAATAATGTTTTGGAAAAATTACCTGATAAAACTACAATTAAAAAAGCTGGTGAAAGTGCAAAAGATGCTGTTAGTAATACTTATCATAAATTAACAGATCAGAATAAAGCTAAAGGTGTTGTTGATCAAGCTACTAACCAGGTATAACTTCATTTTTCATTCATAAAATTTCAAAAATAATTATTTTTCTCTATTTTCCTAGGTTAAAGATGCAGTCAATACTGTTCGTGAAGCATTACCTGATACAGCAGGATTAAAAAAAGGTTTAACCCATGCTAAAGAACAAGTTCAAGATGCAGCACATACCGTTAAAGAAACTGTCAAAGATGCTTTACCATTAGCTAAAGGTAAATCAGGTGAACCAACCAAAAAAATTGGTGATCCTATGTTTCTGGAAGAAGCTGGTGAAATGGGAGTCCCACCCCCAATTCCTGAAGATAAATATAAAAAGTAAATTTAAAAAATTTTATTTTCTTGAAAATATATTTTTAACTTCTATATTTTTAGACTTGAAGAAGAAATTAATCATTTATTTGCACCTTTATCGAAACAACTTGATGATGCTTTAACAGCTGCACGTGAACATGTTTCACATATGAAAACTTTAATTGAGAATCCTAATATATCAACATCTGATCATGAAACATGGAAAAAAGCTGAACATTTACAAGAACAAGCTCGAACATCGTATGAAAAAGTAACTGATACACTTCGTGAATGGAAAAATAAATTAATTGAATATACAACAACAACAAGCGGTCAAATACATCCTGAAGAAAAAAAAGTTGATGAAAAATATCAAGAATTACATAAACAATATACAACATCAACATTTGTAAAAAATTTTCGTACATATATTGATGACGCAACAAAATCGTTTCAAAAAGAAATTGAAACAATGTTTCCAAGTTTAGCTGGAAAAAATCCAACACAATTAACACATGAAGATTTACAAGCTTTATTAGTACATGCACATCGTCGTATAGTTAAACTTCAAAATGATATTGCACGTATGCGTGTTAATGAATCGGATTCAGTAAAAGCAGCTATTGATGTTCAACGTGCTGATATTGATCGTCTTGTTGAACAACGTGTTCAAGAACGTGTAGCAAAAACCGCTGAACAACTAACTGATGAATTAAAATCATATGAAAAAAATCTTCGTCAACAATTTGATGAACAATTAAAACATGAAATTGTTTTACAACATCAAGCATTAACACAATATTTAGCTGATGTTTTATCACGACAATATCAAGAATGGGCACGTGAATATGAAAAACAATTAGATAATGAATCAACGAAAATAAATTTAAATCTACAAAATCAATTACGAACAACATTAGATCGTTTACATGCTATTGAACAAGCTATTGAAGCTAATTATGATAGTCAAGAACGTGGACGTAAAGCTCAACATTTATGGATTCAAGCACAAAATATCCTTAATAAAGTTGTTCATGGTACAACAACAGAAAATGATCTTGATGTTATATCAAAAATTGTTCCAAATGAAAAATTTGTTCAAGTACTTTTTAATCAATTAAAAACTGATGAATCACCAATAACAAATGAAGAAATGTTACGTGAACGTTTTTCACATGTTAAAAAATTATGTCGTCGTGTTGCATTAATTAATGATGGACATAATTCATTATGGAATTATTTTCTATCATATTTTCAAAGTTTATTAATTGTACGACAACGTGATGATTCAATATTAGTTGATGATGCTATTGATCTTAATCAATTAGATACATTTACAATTTTAAATTATGTTCAATCCTATTTAGAACATAATCAATGGTATAATGCATTACGTTTAATGCAATTATTAACAGGTGAACCAAAGAATGTTGCACAATCATGGATTAATGATACACGAAATTATTTAGCTAAGAAACAAACATCAGAATTACTTGAAGCATATTCAAATTCAATTGGACTTGGAACATTACCAAGAACAGCTTAGTTTAAATTGATTACCCGTTCTCTTCTTCATTTAATTGTCTTTTTTTGCATCTTAGTAAACGTATAATTTATGCATATATTTAGAAAAGAAGAAAGACAAAAATATAAGTTTTTTAAAACTAGATTTTATTTCTTTTTTTCTCTTTATTTTAGATTAGAAATATTCAAGATGAATCGGGCGGTTGTAAAATTCTTTACATCATCATCTCGTATGATACCAAGAATTTATGCATCAACAAAGATATCTGGAACAACACCGGCAGCAGCAGCAACAGCACATCATGGCTCAGCCGAAGTTCATGATCATGGTCATGGCCATGGTCATGGTCACGATCATCACCATCATGAACCAGATTTAAGAAAAACACACGAATGGCGTCATCAATCAGGCATTCAATCGAAATATGAAAATCAAGGAGAAGATCCAACCATAACTTTCATGCAAGGTAAAATTATTAATAGAGAATTTTGCTATTAATCAGCAAAAGAATATAGAGTTATACCTTTGAAGTAGAATTTAGTATTCATTATATATAGATAAATCTTAAAACATTATAGTGAGAAATTTAATAAATAAATTTTTTATTATTTTTCTAGAACGACCAAACTATCATGATTATCGTCCATCCCTTGGACAAGTTGCTCTGTCTATACCCTATCGAACACAAGCACATCTTTATGAAATGTGGTTTTATCATGTAGCTTTAGTGCTTTCCATTTGGTTTTGGTGGTATGTTTCATGGCGTTTTCTTAAAGAACCAAGTTGGTTTTTTGGTCATGCTCATTTTCCTGATATGTCAAAATTTACTGATGAAGAATTGGGTATTCCATCAGATGATCTTGATTAATAAAAAACATACTATATTGTAGTTGTTATTATTTTCTTCTTTTCGTATGATGTCTTTCTTTCTTTCTATTTGTATTTTTTTCCCTATTTCCTTCTTTGGTTTTTACGACAAATGGCACGTGAGTTTGTTTTTCTCCTTCTCTATGTCCAATTTAACTTCTTTAGCATTGCTGAATTTCTACCATCAAAAAGAGAAAAAAAAAGAACTAAACAAATTTTATTATTTGTACTTTTTAAATGTAAATTTTCAGTTTAATCGCTTGAGATAGATGATAAAGGTTCGAGTCCCAATTACTGTACTTTGAAAACAGGAATGAACATTATTTTAGTTCTTGTGCGTGCTTTTCCCAGTGATGAGAATTTTAAGTTATCATGAAAAATTCTTGAATGTTAACGATTAGTCTTCCTGAGGGATACTGCCGCACATAATTTATTATGAGAATACATTAAGTTGTCTTTTGAAATTCAATTTGTTGTTCTTTTAAGATTTCGATTAAAATCTTCATGGCACAACAAGTAGGCCGATCGGCGGCAGCAGCAGCATCTCGTTTTGCTGGAAGTAAAGTCGATTGGAATCGTCTTTTAAAATTAAGTGGTTCTAATACAACAACTGTTTCGAATCTTCAAGCTAAATGGAGTCAAGCTGCTGTTAAGTAAGTAAAGATTTTTCTGAAATAAATCTTGTATATTCTATTGTGTTATTTAGAATGAATGCTTTAAATGATGCATTACCTAAAATTGATTTTGCTTATTATCGAAAGATGGTACAAGATCCAACACTTGTTGATAAACTTCAAAAAGAAGTAAGCATCAATTTAAATTTTATATCTATATATATATTAATTTATATTTAGTATGAAAATGCCCAAATTGCTTATCCAAAAGATTCGGCTAATCGTTTTAAAGAACTTGAAGAATATGCTAAAACCGAGGTATAAAAGAAATGTTTATTGTCATATCTTATTATAATTAATATAATAATATGTATAGGAAAAACGTTCTCAAGAATTCGTTAAATTGGCTGAAGGTGAAGTAGAAAAATTACGTAAAGAATTTGATCGATGGGATAATGTACCTCCAGCCGATGAAGTTACTTACGAATTAGGTATGTTTATATGAAAATTTTTTCGGTAGTAAATTAGTTTTTATTTGTTTTTCTTTTTTGTAATTTAGCTTCCTTCTATATGCCTGAAGCTGTCTTTCCTCGTGTTTGGGATAAAGATGAACATGATAAATTGAAAGATATACAATTTTTACCATACGAAAAACGAGATTCATTACGTTGGTGGGTTGAACAAGGTGGTGAATTATTACCACATAAACATGAATGGGTTATGCCAGATGAAGCACTCGACCCAATTGGCTCTCCCCCACGACCCAACACATCAGTCACGGAAGGTGGACATGGACATGGTGATACTAAGAAAATAGCAGCTGGTGGCAAACATTAGTGTAACCCCGTTGAACTGTCTTACTTATCTTTTTTTTCTCTATTAGTTTGAGCCCGAATAAAATGTCTATATGAGAGTAGCAGTAAAGTTTAGTAAGATCGAATGTTTAAAAAAATATGTATTCGATTTTGTATAAGACAGTTAAGAGAGTATATTTAGTTTTCTTTTTGATTTAAATAAACTAAACTTATTTGCAATACTCATATTTAGTCAGTCAATTTTACAAAAAAAAAGATTATTTTTCGATATTGTACAAAGAAAAAAACATTTAATTCACTTTTCATGTTTCGAACTGATTTCTAAAAGACATTTATCATGGTTTAAATGATTATATCTGATTAATTATTCGTTTTGAATTGGTAGCTTACATCTGTGACACAAACAATCATTTAAATATACTTACAATGATGAAATAACAAAAGAATACTATTTCAACTGTTTGTACAATATAATTTGTTATATTTTGACTAAACATCTGTTTCACTTGTGTTAACAGATGATATTACACAATACCTATGTTATAAAAAAATTCGGAGAGTTTACATTTCAAACTAACAAACTGTTTAAAAAAGTATAATTTTTCTCATGCTTCAATAATACAAGCAAAAAATAACTTTTTACCTAGATAGTTGTTAATTACAACAATTATAAATAAAAATTCATTCTCTCTATTAAAATTCTATACTTAGTTTACTATATATATGGCACGTTCGCCTGTTTTACAGTAATATACCCCATTCTATTCATTTTCTAATTGATAAATAAGTCATTAACATTAAAATCTCTTCATCCTGTAAATTTAGTATAAAATAGAAAGTACTATATTTGATGTTCAGTCTAATAACATCTAATGATGAATGCTTCTCTAGTACACAAATATATCCATATACTTTATTTACATACATTTTATGTATAGAATTCATAATGAATAATAATATAAGATTTTAATGATTTTTTTTCAAATATTATATATCTTAAATAATTAGAATTGAAGTGATTTTTAAGAGATTTTTTTTCTTTGCTTATTTTAAAATATTCATAAAGGTTTTTTGAAGTATAAGAGCAATTTATATGAACGATAAAAAAAAAGAGCATTTCTTTTGAATGTCAAAATAATAATATTTGACTTTTTCTTTGATTGATAGATGCGCTTCAACAAAGATAAACATCCAACAAATACAATAAATCAAAATCAGTCAATCAACGAAATTTACAGTTAACAGTAACCAGAAACAGATTTTTGCGCTCTTCATCATAATAATATCAAAGAATAAAAACTATTGTGATCTTAATGTAAATATGACAGATACAGATACCTTATTGAATGTAAATGAAAAGTAAAATTTTCTTTTCTTATTGATGTTCTCAAATCCGTGACTGATCATATCATCATTAAACATTGATAATAATAATAAACAAGATTATACTTACTCTATATGCATATTTATTTAAAGATAATGCTTGAGGCAACTATTCATCGAACATATGAAACTAAAATTCACACATAGTTTTTTTTTGTTTCTATTCTTAAATTTCTTATTGGTTCAAACATATGTATATATATAAACAATCTTACTATATTAAATTATCTATTGTATTCTTTTTTTACACTTTATAATAGTATAATTTAAATGAGAATGTATTCACTTGTTTTTTTTCTCTAATAATATTATTTTATGTTGAATTGATTCTCGGAATAAATTAAGTTTACTAAAAGTAACTATTGAATATATGTAAAATTAACACATTTGTTAAAAATTGATCTGTTTGTCTTCGATTACAATGACATTCATTGCTCTAGGGCAGTATCAATCACATTCAGGAATGATTTTTATACGGCATGTCGATTCTGTTGTTCATCAATAATAAATCTTTGCTCTTCTTATGTTACCAATTGTATGTCTCGTCGCCTGCACTATACACACATATATATATATATACATACATATATAGTTTATTCTGTTTCTAAATACACAGATCAATATATACAAAGAGATGAATAAGTAAGATGTCCTGCGAGACAATGTAGCGTGACAAACTTTAATCCATTTTTAATATCTTTCAACTTGACCGCTTATGTATCCCAAGATAAAAAAAAAGAGAATTCCTTAACCGGAAACCATCGTCATACGTATCATTACCATTAAATACTTCTAGTCTATACACCTTGTGTATGCGTAGCAACCAGATGGCCTCATTTAAAGCAATTAACACTCATGCGCAATGTGTCATCATGTTAAATCTATTAAAAAGCAGGAAAAGGAAAGGGATGCAATGACATTATACATTTCGTTCTTCAAAAGAAAAATATATATTCACGAAGATAATGATCTCTCTCATTTAGATATATATATATATATATCAAATCAGGTAAATCGACACTGTAGTCAGCAGTTGTTGTTTTCTTTAGTTTTTTTTCTCTTTTATGACAAATAAATTTTGTAACGGTATGTACATTTATGTGTAAAAAAAGTCAGTAGAATACTAGAAACAGATGTTGACAATGGTAATGGAAAAAAATCGAGAAAAAAAAAGAATCTATAGTGCCATTTGAACTTGTTCGTTTGGTGAGAGTCGAGAGTCCTTCATGACTGAAACTTGAAAAAAAAGAGAGGTAAATGTGTATATTGTGTATGTGTGTGTATGCTTATGTCAATCAGTGAGTTGTCCATCAAACATTCAGATTGAATGAAGGAGAAGAGGGAGGAGGAGGAGGAGAAGGAGAAGGAGAGAAAGAGCGAAGAAACCTTTTTTTGTTTGTTATACTCTTCGCATCATCAGAGAGAACAACGAAAGAAATCAATTATTGAACATAATGCAGAATGATTGACAATAAGCAATAAGAAAGTTTAACGAATAGCGAGAATATATCGTGATTGTTTCTTCATCTTATTTCAGAGATCATCGACGATATTCAAACGAACAAAAGACCAAATCAATATAGAAATTGTTTGTAGATCAAATTAATCTCGAAAATGATTGAAGATGATTATATTACTTCTGTTTTTTCTACTTAAGATAATGATTTATTATTTATATTGATTAAGTCATGTGGAATCTTCGATCATGTTATCATATTTTTTTCTTATACTTCTATTAATTTGTTCTTTATTTACAACGTTTCAAACGATTACATTTGGATGTGATTATAATTCAACGACTTATCCGGTAGAGAATAAGATAGACATAAATAATGTCAATGTTATTGTTTTACTTATTTAAGATTAATACTGAATGGACATTAACAGAATCCTGCCAAACATGTAAATGTTTATCGAATAAAATTGTTATTTGTCGAAATCGAACATGCCAAATGCCACAAGATTGTCAAATGGTAAAATTAATTTTTTAGATTAAATTTTTAATTGAATTGAATTTAATTTAAGGGTGAACAATTAACAATTAAAGCAGGTATCTGTTGTCCAACATGTTCAGCAGTTCAACGTTCTTGTCTCTATGATAGTACTGCAATACTTGTATGTTATAACCTATTGTTCTTTGTTAACTAATGACATTTTAATCTTTGACATATAGCATAATACAATATTCTATCCAAAATCATGTCTACAATGCCGCTGTCGAGATGGCCAATTGTTCTGTAATGATATTTGCCGTCAATCAATCTTACAAAGTAGTTATTTATTTATTTATAGAGTCTAGTATGATCACATTCAATGAGAATTTAAAACTTGTAAAATCTTTTGAACTCGGACGTTATAGAATCAATAGCGTAACCTATTATGATAATATCAACAATTAGTAATGTCTGATCTTTTCCGTGAAAACTAATTCATATAGATAGATTATTTATCGTACAGAAAAATGTGACGTATGTCTCGTATACGACAGTATATTAGAATTGAAGAAATATTAATAAATTCTATTCCGAAAAAAACTTATTGTTTTGTATGTTAATTTTAATAGATCGATGTTCATTTCAAAATGAACTCTATGAAATAAATTCAATGTGGTCTCCATTACCATGTATTATATGTCAGTGTACGCAAACATTACAAAATCAAAATGTATCATCTGTTTGCTACATTAAACAATGTCCTAAAATAAAAAATTGTCATGAAGTATGAATAATTTCATTTTTAGTTCTTATAAAATATTTTTTTATTCTAGTCAATTGAATTTATTCCCGGTCAATGTTGTCCAATATGTCGAACAAGTATTTGTCATGATAATACTGGTCTTACTTATCAAGTAAAATCAATTGATTTATTGATGAGAAAATAAATAATTTTTTTTATTTATACTAAGAATGGTGATGTTTGGACTAGAAATAATAATTGTACACATTGTATATGTAAAGATGGATTAATTATGTGTACAGAAGAAGCATGTCCAATTTTACAATGTAAATCTGTATGTTAATGAAAATACTTTTTCAGAAATATTTTTAGATCTTTATTTCTAAATTAATTTAGAATGAAAAAGTTGTTCGTTTATCCAATAGTTGTTGTTCAATATGTAGTAATCGACATGTATGTAGATTTTATGGAAATAAAGGTTATCAGATCTTTTATGAACATGATATATGGTATACATCAGCATGTCAATATTGTACATGTCGACGACATAATCGTATAATATGTAAAAGTATACAATGTGAACATCAATTTTGTCTTGAAAATGAAATAAAAGAAATACGAACAGATAGTTGTTGTGTATCATGTCGACAAGCTAAACAATGTAATATAAATGGTCATATACTTACGGTAAACTAGAAATGATTCAAATAAACTTAATTATTGTTTTCATTTAAGGAAGGATCTTATAATGCAATTGATAATTGTACATTATGTACATGTACAACAAAACATCAATCAGAATGTTATTCAAATTGTCGTGAAAATGGTTATGAAATAACTAAATTAGAAGCATCAGGCCAACATCGTAATCATACAATTATTATTACAGATAGTTCAGCTACAATAATTAGTTGTATGATTAATTTTGTTTTTTCTAATTAGATCTATTATCTTTTTTGATATTTTTAGATTCAAAAGTTGGAACAATTATATCATCATCAGAAACAAATTCACTTCTCTTTCAATTTTTTTCTTCAACAACAACAACAAGATCAAATGCTGCTGTTCTATTAGGTATTATACATAATTCAACTGGTCAAATATCATATCGTCTTATTATTGTCGATTTTGATTCAACTATGAATTATACAATAAGAAATCGTAGTCTTTCAGATGAATTACGTCTTTGGATGCCATCGAATACTTCAACTACACGAGCAAAAAAATCATCGATTACAATATTTGAAGAAGATAAAAATTCAGAACAAATTATTTTAATAATTCTTATTATAATTCTTTCATTTATTTGTTTTATATTAATTTTAATTATTATTTTCCTATGTTATCGACAAAAACAAAAAATTCTTGAACCAACAAATAGTACAAATAGTTTAAAACGACCAACATCATCATTATCTGTTGTCGAAAAATTTCATGCACCTGATTTAACAACGAAAGTAACACTTTTATCACATTTTCATGTAACTGAATCGGATTTTGGTACTGATGTTTGAATTTTATTGTTTAAAAAATTTTTTTCTTATTGAAATTTATAAAAAAAAGAGAGAGGGAAAGATTCAAATTTTGACAAGGAAAAGAAAAAGGTAGTTTATTGTCTGTCGATAAGTGATTCCAATGCTGGTACTTGTTCGGATAAAGATTTACGTTGACGTGTTTCGCTTACAATTTGACCACATTTTGTATTCATGTCAAATGGTTCACCAGGTAATAATGACCAATGATCAAATTGACATTGAGGAAATGCTGTGCCGCTTGTTACTCGACGTAATTCCTCTGTAAAGCCAAAAGATTCATTAACAGGTAGATAAGCTTTTATGCGAGATAATGTTGTACCACTTAATTCACTTTCTTCACCGATTTGACCACGTCGTTTATTTAATGTTGAATAGACTTTGCCGATCATATGTGTTGGACATTCGACATCAACTAAAAATATTGGTTCAAGTAAACGTGGTTCAGCCATATGTAAACTAGCTAGAAGACATCGACGAATAGCTGGAATAAGTTGATCAGGTCGACGATGTGCTGTAAGAAAAAGAAATTTATTTTATTTTTTAAAATAAGAAATAAAATTTTATTCTCTTACCTGAATCACGATGAATTTCAGCATCAAGTAATTCAATTCGTGCACCACGAAGATTTTCTGAAGCCAGAACACCTTCTTGTGTAGTCCATTGAAAAGCAGCTACAACTGCATCTTGAATATTTCCTAATCCATCAACACTTCTTGTTGAATCAACAAGTATATTTGGTCCATTATCATATGGACCAAATGCCCAAATTTTCTTTGTTGTAGCTAAATCCCAACCAAATTCTTCAACTAATATTTTTGATCGTTCTTTGGGATCTTGTTTCGATGATATACGACCTGATTCAATAGCATCAGCTAAACCTTCTTCTAATGGTGAAGCGCGCATGAAAAATTTATTGTGTTTATTTGTTGTTTTTGTAAATGCTATTTGACGTGATTCGGCTGTAATTGTTTCACGATAAGTTACAATTGGTGTTGCTACTTTTAATTCACAACGTGCATGTAATTTTTCTAAATCAGCTAAACATATTTCTAAATGTAATTCACCAGCGCAAGCAATAACTTGTTGTCCATTTTCATTCAATACTTGTACAAGTGAATCAGCTTGAACTAATTTTTTAAGACCATCTATAAGTTTAGCATGATCTGTTGGATTTTTTACATCAACAGCTACACGTACAACTGGACTTACAGAAAATTTCATTACACGAAAATTATGTGCATCTGGATTTGTTGTTATAGTTGCAGTTTTTAATAAACACTTATCAATACCAGTTAATGCGACGACATTACCAGCAGGTACACTATGCATTTGTATACAACGATCACCAATCATAACACCTACACTTGTTACATTTTTTATTTGTAAATCACTTGTTGAACCTGGATGAAAATCAGGACCAAGTATACGTACATTTGTTCCTGATACGATTGTACCGGAAAATATACGACCAAAACAAAGAAAACGTGATCCATCTTGAGCTGGAATTTTCTTACTAATATAAATCATAACATCACCTTTTGGGTCACAAGCTTTCATTGAACATGCAACTTGATCATCTTGTGGACCTTCATATAAATGTTGGATACGATAGGTTTGTGCTTGTGCAGGTGATGGAAGATGAAGAACAATTAAATGTAACATTGCTTCACCAGCTGGTAACCAACGTTTCATTACATTTGACATTATTGTTTTACTGTCGAGAACAGTAGCATCAAGTTTTTCAGCAGGTAATTTAATATCAATTTTTGTTAATAATGTTCGAACTTCATCCATATTTAAATCAGCACATGCAGTAAGCATTTGATATAATGGTTGAAGAATAAATTGATTAAAACCACGTTTAGCATCATCACTTGTTCTTGATTGTTCATATGAAAGCCATTTTTTATTTGATGCCGAATAAAATGATTCACCCCATAAACGATCCATATATTTTTCTTTGGATACTTTAGTTTTTTCAGCGTAAAATGTGGCAAATTGAGATAATGTAAACGCCCAACCTTGTTTGCCAGAAGCAAATGAAACATTACCTGATTTTGGATTAAAATGTTCATCCGAATAAATTGTATCATCAGTACTTCGATATGTTGCAATTAATGCATTACATCGAGCAATAATACCGGATAATTTTTTATAAAGTTCTTCCGGTTCTAATTTTTGTTCTAATATACAACGATCTACTTTATTTATAATTAAGGTTAATTGTACACGTTCAGAAAGAGCTTGTCGAAGAACAGTTTCAGTTTGTACAGACACACCTGAAACAGCATCAACTACAAGTAATGCACCATCAGTTACACGTAATGCAGCAGTAACTTCAGATGAAAAATCAACATGACCAGGAGAATCAATTAAATTGACTAGAAAACCATTACCATCTCGTTTGAGATCACCTATTAAATATTAAAATTTATTTTATATATATGAAATCTAGATTCATTTTTTAAATGTACTAACCAAGAACTTGATCATCCAATTCATAGAACATACTAACAGAAGAGGATTTGATTGTAATACCTTTTTCTTGTTCAGTTTCCAATGAATCAGTAAATCGACGTTGACCAGCTTGTTGTTCGGTAATAATACCAGCTTTATACACTAAAGCATCGGTCAATGTTGATTTACCATGATCAACATGTGCAATGACACACATATTACGAATATTATGTGTCTTGGACATTGTCTCTGCTACAGCTTCGGAACGTTGTCTTGCCATAATGAATAATTGTAATATTTGATATACAAATCAAAAAATTTGATTGATAAATTGAAGTAAATACTACCTTCTTATTAACATAGAATGTGAAAGAATGGAGATTTAACGGAGTACAAGACGCCTTTTATACCTGAATGTACTCTGCATATGTAATTACGAAATAACATTCTTTTACTGCGCATATGTAATTTCGAAATAACATTGTTTTACTGCACATAAGAAATTTCGAAATTACATTGAAAGAGTAATTTCGCAAGAACAAGTAACAACCTTGAAAATATTGTTGAAGCAATACATGTGATCAATTCTATTTTGATTAACATGACTCAGATCCTTAAATGACGTTATTTATATTTGCATATCATATCAATGTTACAGTCATTAAAATAATACTAATAATAAAATCAACAAATAATATATTTGTATGAGAATTCTTTTTTGATTATTTGCGTATTTATTTGATGAGTTATCGCTTGAGGATAGATGTTATCGTTATCAGAATAAATATTTATGTTCTCTAGCTGATTCTGTTGATGGTGAAATGCTTTATTGAATAGGTTTTGACAGTCTCGAGTGGAGAGAGAGTATTCTATTAGATGCTTACATCTTTTTAAAAGATTTGTTGGTAACATATCAGTTTTTTGAGAGATGTATGGATTGGATTTCTTCTAATTCTTCTGTTCCTTTATATGATATGGAGGATGTTCAACTTCTTCATATTTTTTCTGAACCTTTTCTTTATATTAGTTAGTTGAGATCTCTGTTATTTTTCTTTTGTTCTCTCGTTGTTTCTTGTTACTTTTTTATTATTTTTTTTTCTCTATTATTTTACGTACTGTAAGGACCTACTGATCATCAGTTAATGCATAAATAAAAAAACTTCTTTCTTAATTTTCATCTCGATTCTTTAAAAAATTATAATTATAAAATGAATAAAACTAAAATTCATATCACAAACAATGACTGATATTTCAATTAATCAATTTCAAAAACAACAAATAAATTTTTATTTCATCAATTAATAAATCAACAATCCTATATTTTATTTAAAATAGATGGCGCCGATAGAAAACTCTGATAATAACAATTACAAGTTTTAAAGAAAAGAACAAAAATGTAGCAATAGAAAAACAGTTTTCAACAGATAATAATTCTAATCAATTTCATTCACAAATACAATATCTTCTTAATTTATTCACACTTCACATAAAAAGTTGAAATAATCATAATCAAGTAAGTTACTAACTGTGTTCGCTACACGAAACTTTTCATAAGATAGCACATTATTTTACGAAGAATATTGATATGATTAATTATTCATTAACATCTATAAATAATCAAAATGGTTGATATAAAATATAACTTCCGATGAAAAGATATTATTATGTCTAATATTAATACACATGGATAAATCTATATTGTTTTCTGTAAGATATTCTACTGGAAATAGATATAATCGTTGTTATTCGAATCTTGCTGTTACTCATTTTAATTTCAATCAAAAAAAGG